AACAGACAGAGAGGGCATGTACGACAGAGTAGAGATGAGTAACAGACAGAGAGGACATGTACGTAACATCCGGACGGACATGGCTTTTTCACGTCGTGGCGGTCACAATGGGGTAACAAATGTCGGGTCTATGGGTGCAATCCATTAATAACTCGGTACACCTAGCGTCAAATCGTAACTAGTCGGTGATGCATCAATATTTAGCGACAAAAGTGCAGAAGCGTTTATTGAGTTTGCCGGACATTTGCATTTAGGAAAATACATTGGGGCTGACTTGAGAAAGTTGCTGCTGCTGCTGTTATTTTATGATTATTATTAACATTGTTCTTGTTTTCGGTAATTGGCTGTTTACTATTTTTCGTGCGTTTGTAGCTATTCTTTATTGTCGCCGCGAATGTTGGCCAGTGGCTATTGCTGCTTCTGTCGGTGTAAGAGTTTGTAGGAGTTGTCTTCTAATCATTCTTTTTCTTCTGCAGTTTTTTGTTGTTGTTGGGTTTTTTTCTTTTCTTCTGATTCATGTGGCTGTTCTTTCTTTTTGGGGAACGGATTAAAAAAAAGGAGGCTGACGATTTAAGCCAAAAGGGTGGGGCTAAACATGTCAAACCTAATTTGTCCACATTAGGAACAGATTCCCTTAACAACAGCTCCGACTTTACTAGATGCATGAAGCGAGAAAGGTATTCAATAATTCTGCGGGAGTAATCCGCTTCCCGCGTTAGTTTGACAAGAGGTTCGTGGATTTCTCTTAAACGTCCTTTCCTTCAAGCAACCGTCCACTGTTATTACTTCCGCTCCTTGCCCCATCCGTACTCTCTCTCTCTCTCTCTCTCTCTCTCTCTCTCTCAATTGCGCTCATTTACATTCTCTGGAACCTTAAAGGTATCTTTTCGTGTGGCCAACTACAAGTTTTTGAATTTATGCAGGCCTCATGGCTTCAGATTTTTTGTCTTAATCCGTTAGAACACCAAGTTTTTTTTACCGAAAATATTCTAACCATTCCTGTGTTTACTTGATTTCGTTGTTTGCTAATGTTAAACTAAAACTCTCTCACCTATGATTATTTTTCTCTTCTTTTGTCTCTTGACCTGTCTGCCTGTTTCCACACATCTCTATACACCTCCGTACCCCCCTCCCCTCTCTCTCTCTCTCTCTCTCTCTCTTTCTCTCTCTCTCTCTTCTCTATCTCTCTCTGTCGCTCTCTCTCTGTCTCTCTCTCTCTCTCTCTCCCTCTAGCTATCTCTTTCGCTATCTCTTTCGCTATCTCTCTTTCCCTCTCACTATCTCTCTCCCTCACCTCTCTTATATCCATTCTCTCTTCTCCTTACACACGTACACACACATAAACAAACGCATACCAACACACGCGTACCCACGAGCGCGCATGCACACTGTCACATGTGCTAGAGCTGGAGTTCACTATTATGCACTCCATACTCAATCATTCTCACCTGCTAAACTCTAAATAAATTAATCATTGTTTCCTCTAGAAACATCATGGTATACACCTGTGGGTTAGCAGTTGGACTCCTTTTAGCGCCCTGACAACGTTCAAATCTTTTTTTTAAAATAAAAAATAAATTTTAAAATCCTCAAATTTGTTAGAAGTATCCTTTTTTTCATCTGCAAAATTTATTTTTTCAGGGTCGCGTGTATAGCTCAAGCAAAGAAAGCTCCGATCTTGACTCCCTCTCGGAAGAAAAGCCAAGGAGCAATGGCCGTGCAGGGTACGAGAACAAAGGGTTTCAGGATGATGAAGATATTATCCATAGCTCGTCCATGGATATGAAAGGTAATTAAAATCAAAACTGATCGGGATTACTATACTGTCACCAAAATGACCCTATAAAACCGGCGTAGTCTAACTTTTCACATATGGATGGACTTCTTGTTTATTTAATCCAAGGCTTTCATAAAGTGTGTTAGATAACTAGGAGAATGCAGAGCGCATGCCAAATAATTAGGCTGTTTGTCAAATACAATAAATTCAATTCCTAATGATACTATGGCAACCAAGCCTCTGTTTCATGAATTTATAAATGACAAAATACATCAAAGAAATACAGACAACACACGTATTTGTTAACCAAAAATTCACCAAATTAAGTAATATGTTGTAAAACGATAGTATTACACCAAGTACATAATACCTAATGCCCGGAGTCTGAATCTCACAGACCAAACAACACGAGTTCGACACATCTTCCCTGGAAGTTATGAAGTCTATAAAATTTTGACTTTACACTGTGCAGTTCAATGAAAATTAATACTAAAATATTATTATGACCAATTCCAGAGCACACTATAAACACAGTCTCAAATTTATTTTCTTTTTAAGATAAGATGGTGGCAAGGCGGCTGGCCAGGTTAACTGACATTGCGGGCCGGATCTGGCTCGTGCGTCGTAATTTTGGTGACCGCAAACGTAATCCATAAATAGGCAAAGGGACAGTTAAAAATAGGTAAACGTAAATAAATAAAATAAATTACGTTTTATTGATCCACGTAGGAAAATTTGGAGTGCAATGGCAAACATGCGTACATACATACATAATTATAAATACATACATACATAAATATATACATCGTCGGCCAATGGCTACCGGACTCGTAATTGTGAGGTTGCGGGGATGGGGGTTCGAGCCGCGGGCCCGATGTTGTGTCCTTGGGAAAGGCATTTTACACTAATTTTCCCCACTTCACCCAGGTTGAAATGGGTACCCGGCCACAGACAGCGAAAGATCTTGTCAGTATGTTAGTGTTTTAGCGCTTGCACTGTATGCTTCCCAGGAAGTTGAGTTTGTTCCAGAATGCTCTCAGGTCTGCTGGGGTAATAGTATAAATTGTGAAGCGCTTAGAGCATGCTGTTGAGCGGGGATTTGCGCTATACAAATGCTATCTATTATTATTATACATAAACACACAGCATTACACCAATACAGAACAGTGTCACAAACATGCCATTGCTAGTCGCCACCAATGAGGATACATTATGTATCATCACTGTCGCTATTGTGCAGCGTCCTTTTTTTTTAAGCTGAGGTTGTCTTGTCGTGCTCAAAGACACACCCCACCCACCCTTTGACAGTATAAGTCTAAGCGACAGCCAATTAGAAGGAGACAACCTTCTGATGTTATTACTATAACTTGAAGATTAGACTGATATTATTAGAGGACCTGACTGTCGATACCAGCATCGCAGGATCGTATTCTGTATTCGTAGCCTATACAACGACAAGTTATCACCACTGTATTTAGCCCTTGATGTGTGCTCGAAACTAATAATGTTACGACTTAAGATAAATACAAGTATACACGTTGAAAATTCCTGTTTTTGATGTTGCTCGTTTAATTATGAGAAATAATTCAGCCCTAACAGTATTATATAAAGTTTTACTTCTTAATTTCCTTCTAGGTGCTAGTGACGTCATCAACTTTCCCAAGGCAGATACAACGCCTTCTTCGGACGACGATATTTTCAACAGTAGTACCTTGGTGGACGATGATCATACCTTTATCCTAGCCACTGATGCAGACATGGACTTCAAGGGCGAGGCGGTGAGAGAGTTGTTGGATCTTTGCAACGCGGACAAAAGAGTGGGCGCCGCCTGCGGACGGACTCACCCCATCGGCAAAAAGTGCAGCTCCATTGTGTGGCACCAGGTCTTTGAGTACGCTAAAGGTAAAAACTTGCTTCCACCCCCACCCCAACCCTCTGTGTCTGTGTGTCTGTGTGTGTGTGTGTCTGTCTGTATGTATATGTATGTCTCTATCTATCTATCTATCTATCTATCTATCTATCTATCTATCTATCTACCTTTCTTTCTTTCTCTCTCTCCCCTCTCTTTCTCCCTCTCTCCGTTTCTCTCTTTATCTTTCTCTCGATCTCCCCCTGTCTGTCTGTCTGTCTGTCTGTCTGTCTGT